GTCCCTGTCGCCGATGGACACTAAACATTGGATAGCTATTGATGGGATAAACACGTACGCATACGGGCATGAGAAAATTGAACCAAGAACATAGGTGTATATGTAATTACCATACCCTGTCAGGGTGACATGTCACGGAACCAGAGAAAGTTTGAGGCTATTTACTACAGCCAGCGTGGGTACTGGAAAGGAGCTAGCGCCCATTACATAAGCTGGCTAAAATGCGAAGTACCCGGAGGAAGCCAAAGCGTGGCTTGAAAACAAGCCCTGTGGCAGATCTATTTACCAGCACCACGCTCGTGCCTAGAAGGAAGTTCGGTATTAACATACCCAATAAGCGTTCACCAGGCCGACCTCCTATTCCTACCCCGACAAGAGGTACAAGTATGCCTTAACCGTCGTGGATGTGGCCAGTCGCTACAAGGAAGCCGAACCCTTGACGCGAAAGACTCAGCCCAGGTAGCCCAGCGGATTGAGCATATACAAGCGCAGTCCGCTGGCGTGGCCAACAGAGCTGCAAGTTGACCCGGGCGGGAGTTCATGGGTGCCATGTCACACCTGCTGGATAAACCGCGATACCAACGTCAGGCGTGTGGCATGGCGGAGCCCATCGCAGCCAAGCCATAGTTGAGAGATTCAATAGGACTTTGGCTGGCTTATTCGGGCATCAGTATCGCGAGAGAGATGGCCAACCGGGTAAGCGATCGACTGAATGGGTAGTGCGGCTACCTAAGGTGGTGTCGGCCATAAACCCGCGAAACTACCCGTCTCACCGGCAAGAAACCAGCAGGCGCTATCAAACTAAAATCAATAGTGGCAGAGTCGGCTGCTCCATTGCGTGGGAAGGAGAAACAGATACCCGATAGGGCACTAGTGAGGTACCTATACCAGCCGGGGGAGCACGAGGGCGATAGCCGTAAGCGAGCCACTGACCCAATATGGTCTGTCAAAACTTACAACATAGATAAAGTGGACATGAAAACCGACGAGCCGAACTTGTACTACTTGAGAGATGGGCCAGGGAGAGGGTTTGTTAGAGAAGAATTATTGATCGTACCGTACGGCACAATGTTACCTCCTGCCAACATGGCATAGTGCCACGTGTGGCTGGGAAGTTAACAAAACAACGTGGCATAGCGGCACAGTAGTGCCACGTGTGGGCGGGAAATCAACGGGGGCTCAAAAGTAGTAGATGCAATGGTAGCAAGATCTAAGGGCCTAACAAAAGCCTTATTTGGGAAATAAGGCTTTGCAGAGGCTTTTGTTGGACTTGGTCCAGGACTATCATTGTATATACTACTTAATCATATGTTGATTAGTAGTTAACGAGCCAGTTAAAGGATAAGTGGTCATTTTTTAATACCTATGCATCTTACCTTCATCTTCACTTGTGACTCCTGAAGTTTACTAGACTCTATGGGATGGGAGGTTAGGTCCATTCTCCCCTTTTCTTCTTGTTCACAATAAACATATAACCATTAACATGTATGTATCTTCCACTACAGGAAGTAGGAAGAAATTTATTGTGCATTTGCCATAACTGAAGTTGTGGAAATGATGATGAAAACTGTCAGTTCCAACATTATTACATTCTCTTCCCACAGAGGTTACTTGTCATATCTTCCTACGAACCTCTGTTCTAATACGGCCATATTTCCCGGTTCTCGTAAAATCCCCCAGCGGCAAAAGATCGCAGCACGAATTATCTCCCTTCTTTCTATCCAATCAGAACACGTGTTACATCGACTTAGATTCAACTTGACTAACACAAGCAAATGTGGGGCCACAAATATCCCCCATCTGCCGGGGACTTGTCTTGATGTTACACACAAGACGTTTAATGGCTAGCTTGTCCGTTGTCAACGAGGGCGATGGAGACGCCACTGATCCGCCGTAACATGACTGAGTTCTGTCTAGAAGAAACGTTTGCGCATCGCGCAGGGGAAGAGGTTTAGTTTTCTCAAAGCATACGGAAATTACCGAGGCCTTGCGAATGATCACTTTTGAAACAACGTCGCTGATTGCACAACTAAATATGATTGTCTCCAATCACGAGTCTTGAACGCTCACACCATGAAAGGGCCGTATTAGAACAGAGGTTACGTAGGAAGATATGACAGGAGTAACCTCTGTGGGAAGAGAATGACATTATTATAGCATGCAAGTTTATGTAAGAAATTGAATAACTCACTACAAATGAATTGAGTGAACTAAACTCACTCACTAACCCGCTGGTTCACATGTCAACCCGCTTGAACATGTTATCGAAACACTACCCAATGATCAAAGGGTTTTGAAATAACATCTGAAAGTGTTAATTAAGTAAACATTGCGAGAGTATTTAAACAGCTCAATGTATTACATAAGAAAACATCTCAAAGTACAGGACAAAAAAAACATCTCAAAATTAAATAAGTAACAATCTCAAAGTATCAATTAAGAAAGCATTTCAAGAACAATACTCATTAATATGAAAAAAAATAATGTATGGCCATTTTGACTTTTTGGTATGGCCATTTTGACTAGGGGTTGTGGCCATTTTGACTAGGGGTTGTGGCCATTTTGACTTTTTTGTGTGGCCATTTTGACTTGGGTCAGTATGGCCATTTTGTCGTGTGGCCATTTTGACCTGTTCCCACATGACAGAATCAAATTTTAATTTACTGACACAACTACCAAAGTTAGGTATTTATTCATGAGCTGCTTCTAAATTTTGTTCAGGGGCACTATTTTCTTAGTAATCCACACAGAAACATGTCACCACTCACCAGTGATGTGAAATATATTCATTTCTTTCAGACTTTTCTGCATTTCTGCTCAAAGTTACTTCTTCAATTTTTATTGATAACTGGTCAATATTTAGTTAATGAAAATTGATCTCCATGATCTATATCAAGAGCCAGCCCTGGTTCTTGCATAAGGTTGATATCTTGGCCAGATAGAACTCGTAAATTAGGACTAAATCATCACAGATTGCACTAATTAGGCCTGGAATCGCCTTTATGTGTTTCACTTCTAAATGCAATTCAAAGACTCAATGATTAAGTAAACGATTCAAACATAATTGAGGAGAGACAAACTAGCACTGCTTGCTCGGTCAACTGACAGTAAAGTAGTGAAAATTTACAGTATGGATTAGCATCTATAAGTAATGGCAATTGATTAAACTGGACAATGGAAGTCCTTAATATGTCACTGTGACATATAGATGCAAACTGTGTATATGTTTAATGGGATTCTATTTCATATGTTGTTCTTATCAAATTTCATGATCACAAGATCACTCATAAGACAATATATTATGGTTCTGTGGTTTTCCTTGCCCCTTCATGAGGTGAATGATTCACCAGGTCACAGCTCACAAATGAGCAGTTGTAATGTATTTACTACACATGTTGTTGTCCTGGAAAACAGGGTTTCGTCTGTTTCTAAATATAATGTGTAGCAGCTTTAAGTGCGCATCTTGATAAAGGTGACAACACGGCTACGGGTGTGATTCGATTTATTGGACGACTGGGTTTAGTTAACCGTTGTTTTTTACACCCTGAAATACACAATAACAATGATGAGGATAATAAACATTATCCGAGCATAATTCATTTGACTTGCAAACAAAAGTATGGACAACACCGTAATACGTACATCATATGCATCATTAATAAAGACGGTAAATATATAATTACTGCATTGTGTTATATTAGTGGCCTTGCAACACATTCAAGCATCTGACTACACAATGCTGACAAGTAAGATACAACAACCTGAATTACAGTTGTCCAGATATGTACCGGTAGTAGTAAATATAGAATATATGAAGTATACACACACCTTACTGTGTGTAAAACGTCATCCATAGATAATGGTATATGTTTACATGATGAAAATATACAAACATACCAGAAGTATGGCCTCTAGGTGTAGGTCACACTACAGTTTCCCACAACTACATGGTCACGGCTACAGTGGCACCGAAAATACCTACAAATGTGGAAATAATTCAAAACTAACTTCCCTACACAACATCCTTACACACGTAAATATTATCATCAAATCAGAATTACTGTAAGCACATATTTACAGATCTGGCATAGCACACAGTAAAATACAAAACATCCTAATACTATTATATATACACATACATACACAACACATACATGATAAAAGCTTCATAAACTTATAAATCAAAATACTCATTCAAATACCTGCCTATCCAGGAGATTTTGCCATTTACTAAACCTCTCACAAATGTACAAATTACCTTATTTAGCATACTTAACATAATGTTTATATAACCTTATTTATGAAAAGATATACACATATATGTTTATGTATTTAATTAAACAAACATACCTTGACAGTAGTGAAGTAAGTGAAATTAGTACACTTGCTGCAGTCTGTTGTTGACTTGTCTGTCCAGTGACTAAGGTGCAAGTGAGGGTTAAAAAGCATGCAAGCTAAGAACAATAGGGTCAGCCACTCAACCAGAACATTTGCCCTGGTTCAATCAAAAGGAAGTGATAGGTAAGTGACTGACCCAAGCATATCCAAGTTAAAATATTTAAGGTGTAGTATCACATCTTAATTAAAATCCTTTACACCCATAATTCTAACTAATATCAATAGCTACTAACTAATAACTAAAACTAATAACTAATACTAATGCTAATACCAATACTATAGTCACTATATACTAATAACTAGTACTAATACTAACGCAAATACTAATGTCACTATTAATACTAATACTAATTACAGTGGTGTACAGTGTATGGTTTATTTGACAGTAACACAAATATATGTGACTGCCACATAATGTACGCTGATAATTTAACAACACGCTATATATTGTATATTATAGTTTCAAATACTGTATCGTACGATAATATTAAAGTTTCAATCATTGTTATACATCAGCTAATGTAACGTTATTATAACATTTACTTTCATCTTGCTTTGAAAATGAATGTTGTCAAATGACGTGAACGCCGACATTTCTTTACCTTTTATCAGTATTCTAAGTGATGTTTAGTTGGAGAGGTAGGTACTGAGTATCATTTACACATGTTCAGTGCGTCTGTAACCTTAACGATTTCCTGACATTTTGAAAGAGTGGCTAATTATTGCATTTTTTATTACCATTTTCATTTGTCTTAGTCTTGTCAAAATGCTTTAGTAAAATTAATCTTTTAAAAATTGTATATTTCTAAAACTAATTTCATCAGTAATGTAATATGATGATCCGAAAAAATGCCTTGTTATTGATTGTTCTGCGTACAACATCGATTACTCCCTAAACAGCAGGGAGAATACATTTATAAAATATGCACAAGAATAAGACGTCAATACAGAATTCCCATTCAGATATCCTTTGCACTAATAAATATTTACACGTAATAAAATGTACTTTTTATCCCCATTAACAATACAATTTGATAAATATCAACATCTTATCAAAGTATTATTTGGCATAACATTACTGAAATTGGAAGACCCCCAACTGTTTCCGCAAAGCAAGCGCCAGAAGATGAAAGTGAAAATCAAGAGTGGGTATATTTAAAAATGAAATTTGTCTGTGGATAATAAAGTATTTTGGTTTGAAACCAACCTTATGGTGTCGTAGATGTTTGTCACTTTCGACTAAAAAAGGCATAGCATATTCATTAGAAGCTGTTGCCCGATCGTGTCTGGCTGTCAGCTTGCACACTGTTCAGTTCCGCAAGATTGCTGACGTCGAGGTATTAGAAAGGAAGTCAGATAGACTACATCTTATAAAAATATATATATTCTTACGTTCTCTGTTGACAATATAGCTAAGGTGCATAACATTCAAGTTTCAAATTAATTTGGTTGTGTTTCAAACAGTATCAACTATCAAGTCCCAAAGTGATATGAGTTTACTAGACATGAAACTAGTGCATTTACTTAGTTGTTTTTTTGTTGTTGCTTTTCTACATTACCCTGATATGGAAGCATATGGATGTCTCAAGTAAGCAATCTTGTTTGAAATCTAAATGTCCTGCAATTCATACCACTGGGGAGAACATGTCAAAACGTGACATTATACCAATGTGTAAATAATACCTAAAAAAACAAATGTTGTGGTTCCGATTACCCGACCGACCCTTGAATTCTGGTGCCGACCCCAGCTTTTTTAAGAGGTATGAATAAAATAAGCTTTCGGATACCATTGTTTTTTCCTGGCACCAATGGACATCGGTCATTCTGATAGAGAAAATCGACATGATGGCCGCAAGCTTGATTGAATAAACAATTACACATTGATAAATGTGTTATTAGCTCATACTTTACTTCTAAAATAAAAATGTAAAAAAAAAAAAGAATTCCTACCTACATACCCTAAATTTTAAAGAGGTGTAATCGGAACCACAACATTTACTGGACGTGAATTCCTGCGGCCTATACGCATAAAAATTGACAGTGGACGCAACAAAATTTATTAGTGCATCCACAGGGACGCAGAAAAAGTCCAAATACAAATACTTAAAAGTAAAAATTCCAATCAAGTAACAATAAGTTATCAAAGAGTTTGCTACTAGCTGGGTTATAGTATCTTTTGCAATTCAATTACTGTAAAAACTAATGTGATGATCATGATACACAATACAGTAACGGTATTAATAATAATATTTATGTGTATGGGACCCCCATTTGTTGTCTGGGACCCATGAAAATTAAGAGTATGAGTCCCAGGGACCCTCAAAAACACGACTCAAGGTAAATCCCTGGTTACAGCCCTACATGATATTGGAATATATTGCCAGGAAACAACTAGTGATGTTGTGCAAATGTCACATTTGCATTTACCAAGTCCGGTATCATCTGTTTAGTCACTTGAAGGGATGTGTTTGGTTTACTTCACAAAATACTGGAAAGTTCAAGTTCTGTTGTCAACAGTCAATTTTGAGAAGTGTGAGTTAACCTGATCAAGCAAAGACCACTCACATGTTTCTTTAGCAGAAGCTGGGTCTGACCTTGACAGAGTTGCTTTTCAATATGGCTTCAATTAAAATATAGATGTTGTGGCTACACTTTTGTAATCTGCTTTTGAAATAAAATCTGAAACTGTTAGGGTAATTCAGTAACAGTCAGGTACATGTACATGATCAATCAATTGCTCAGTAGTCATTTCATGTTTAATTAAATCATTACATATTTGTACTTTTTCACTCTGCATATTCATTATGCTAAAGCAAATATGCCCAGGATGGATTTGGGCTTGTTTCATGTTGATTCAGTTGTGAGTATTAACAATTCAAATATTTCATATATATACATGGAAGCGAGATGAGGAACTGAACTTGCTGAACTGCTTTCTATATGGCTTATCTAAATATATCCTTTTCTTTCATATGCCACTCCTCAATGATCTCATCCAATTTGGTGAACTAAACAGGGTAAGTACTTTCAACTCTTCACTTAATAGATCAAAGGCCATGACTTCAAGCATAGCGCACTGCAAAGTGAGTGTATGGCATTTGTCTGTCCCTTGTAAACTTGACACACTTTTTCAGACAATATATTGGGCTTTAGATATTATTTTGAGCCATTGAGTATTTACCCACTCATTCACATTGGGTATTGACAATTTTCTGTGGGTATTTTATATATGTTTACTCCCTTAAGTCCAGTCTATCGCTACATTTAACTCCAGTTATACTGTGTTTCTTTCACTAGTACTTGTTGGTAATTTGCCAGTACAGTGAGGCATGTGTACATAAACATTAACCCTATCAGGATGATCAGTGTAAAATACTGAAGGTTCCAGTAGTTTAAAAAGTTTCCAGAGAACAGATAGATAGATATTTAACTGAATGGAAACATTGTTTATCAGATATTTCTTTTAATAATTCTGTTTCTGTTGATTTCTAATTTGCATCTGTTTGTGTTGTGCCCTAAGTGTGTAATTCATATTCACACAAGAACATGTTTTAACAAAAGCAACAATAAAAGTTTTTAAGCTGAAACTGTTCATAGATGATCATAGCTAATGTATCAAATAGCTGCTATACTAAAGAAAATCCATCTGATTATAGCTGCTATACAAAATATGTCATTGATGCCTATTTCACCACTACTCAAGAATGTGTAAGCAGTAAATATGTGCAATTACCAATAGTGTTTATGGTGTTTTCTTGTTCCTTTCCCCTGTTATTGTCCTTGACACTGTTTTTTATAATGAACCTAAATTAATGACAATGTTATTCCTGATTAAATCAAGTGTAAATTCCTGTAAATCAAATGTTTGTGCATGTTGTCTTATAAAGCTTTGCACACAAAGATATGAACAAAGGTGTAACAAAACAAGGATATCCTAGGATACTGATTAAGGTTTTTAGGAATGGCCGTATTAGGAGTGACATTGTGGCATGTAAGTCATCAGTTTGCTATGTATCATTTCAACATTTTGAATAAAGAATATCAATATTTCATTGTCGCTTTTCATGTTATCCTGGAAGACTGCATGGAGAGAATGAGAATGTTAACACATACCTCACTGGCATATCGAGTCAAGGCAGTAGATGGAAGGGGCACGATGAAGGTTTAGGCAAAATCATATTGACTTAAGGTTGTTCATTGTTCATTTTCTGTCATTTATGTCGCTGGATTTTGTCTAGTGTCTTTAAATTAACTATCCTTTAAACTGCAGGTACCATAATATTGACAACCTTTATGGGTTACAACTTCTTTATCTCATTGTTATCCATAAAGTTTGTCTGTATTGTACTTCACAAATTCTAAAATGCCACACAAAGACGTTTTAGGTACCGTAATAAAACAATCAAATATTAAGCTGTCAATCTGCAAAGAATTTACTTTAGAAGATAAAATGATCTATCAGAACGAGAATAATTTTGTTGTAATGATGTTCTAAATCATCCACACCGAAACTCCAGCTTTATAAGTATTTTTATACTGTGCCAGAGGGGCAACCTGTGTCTGTTTGGGTATTGCTGAAGGTTGTACCAGGTGCAAGTAGGTTTTATTTCCTTAAATTGAGTCTGAACATTGAAATCAAATAAGGGAGTATGTTGATAACCCCATGTAAATTATGGTACTTTTTAATGAGTTAGACCTCATATCACTGTCAGATAATCAGTAGATTGGAGTGTATGGCTATCATGGGGAATTTGGTCATGTTTCTGCACAAAATGTAATGTTTATTACTTTATGTTTGATTTTTCTAGTTGAAACTTTTCAATTTAAAAAAGGCAAAGAGGGTGGCAAATCACAAATATAAACCGTTTTGGGGGCAATTATTCATTGTGCAAATGGGTGGTGGGGTAGCCTAGTGGTTAAAGTCACGTCACGCCAAAGACCCGGGTTAGAATCCCCACATGGGTACAATGTGTGAAGTCCATTTCGTGTGTCGCTGCCATGATAATGCTGAAATATTGCTTAAATAAATAAATATTGCAGCGTAAAACTTAACTCACTCACTCACTTATTGTGTAAAGCCTAGGATATTTGTTGTGTAAACTTACCTTAATGCTATTCACCCTTGAATTAGAATAGAATAGAATAGAATAATACTTTAATGCCTTTTCAGGAATTTGTGTTACATCAGCAGAGCTACTGACACATTAGAGAGAGATACCAAACATATTTACATAAATTCTTTGATTTAGGTATCTTCACATTTGTTTAAGAGAGATATGGTACTTGGAATAAAGGATGTACGGGCTCTCTTAGTTTTCACTATTGGAACTTTGTAGCGGCAGCCTGAAGGGAGGAGGTTGTATTCCGAATTTAAGTAGTGAGTACGGTCAGATATGATTTTGACAGCTTGATTCACAATTTTCCGCTCATATTTTGATGATAAACATTCAAATCTGACTCCAGCGATTTTACTTGCAGTGTTAACAATTATGTCTATTTTAGATTTGAGATGAAGTGAGGGAGACCCGTACCAACAATGGAAGGAAAATGTTAAAATACTCTGAATAAATGCTACATAAAAAAGATGACATCACAGATGGGTTAACATTAAAAGATCTCAGTTTACGCATGAGTATTACCATGATTACTTAACAGATAAAGCAGCTCAGAAATGTTTCAAAGTGGTGTGGCCCTAGTTGTAGCTCACCTGACTGTAAGCATGGTAAGTAGAAGTTACATATCATTTGCTGCCTGTTTGTGTGTCCATAATTAATTTCACGTTTTTCATATCCCTGAAACTACAAGTTCAATAGAGGTGATAATTTGTCTTCAAGAAGAGTATGATGATTAGCAAATATCACAGGTGTGGTGTGAAGAGTATTGCATAATGCATCTTTTTGGTGGAGCATATTTTGATTTGGATCATACTATGACCTTTAACCATCACATACCATGTTTCCTTGACACCATTACCAAGTTTCAGCTCTATATGCCATGTTGTTTATTTATTACTTAAGTATTAATATTTTCCTAAAATTGGAATATTTACTATTTAAGTATACCTTTCCAGAAAAAAAACCCACTACAAGTTCCTTTTTCTTTGCTCCCATAACACGGAACCCAAACATGCATCTTCACCAGGTTACCAATAAGGCTTGCCTTCCCTTGATTCCTCTCTTCGTCACATGTGTTTGCAAAGCTTATTTCAAGCCTTTTTTACATCAGACACAAAACAATGTTTTGAGAATACTCTTGGTAGGGAACTATGTACAAATTTTGTTTTGAATTACAAATTTTTATGCAATTTGAGCATATGTTCATCAGATAGTGGTGACAGAATAAAAAGGGAAATATAAATTTCCGGTCATCAGTCATAGTGTATTATCTGATTACATGTACAGTTGTGATTCTTGGTGGTTATTTTTGTGTTTTATGTATCTGAATACTAAGTTAATGTCAGATGACAGCTTTTGTTGTATTTGAGAGTACGGAGAGCATGGATGATGATATGGTGAAATATACACTATCATGTGTAGTATGCTACCTTAAGAAGTCAAAGTCTTACTCCCTTGCAACTTGTCCTGCCTGCTGAGGAGGCAACTGCTTCTTGCAGAACAGATGCAGCTAGTTTAAATCCTTGTCGAATGAACAGGTGGATATCCATTGGAAGAGAATAAAGAAGAGAGCATCTTGGAAGCCTAGAAATAGTATAAGGATTAGTAATGCAACTTTCACCACTTGTGTGTCTAGTGCTTAGATCAATATTTGCATTATTTGTACTTCTGTTATTGTGGCTGTTGAGGTTACACCTCCTTCCAGCTGCTTGTCATCTTCAAGGCTGGTGTCACCTAGCATATGATCATCTTACTAACTTTACACTGCTTCTAAAAGAGTGGTGTGCAATTGCATTAACATCCCCCAGTGTGCCTAGAGATGACCCTGTGGTTCCTAATCAACCATTATTATTGGTCTAAGAACCAATCGCTGTCCTAATGGGTAATTAACAGGATTGCCTACCTTCCTTGGAAGGGTGCATTAGTAAAACCAGTGTTGAAACCTCAAGGTATTGATTCTAACTTCTAAGCATACCCTCATTACGGTATTTCCCTTAAAGTGTCTTCAGTGATCTGCCTGCATCTGTTTCCTGGTATTTCATTAAACTACAGAAAGCGTTGGTTCTCATGCCAAAGGCCTGGGTTCATTTCTGCTCATGAGCACAATGTGTGAAGCCCATTTTTGGTGTCCCTTTCCGTGATATTTCTGGAATTTGGCTAAATGCAGCATAAAACCCAGCTCAGTCACTCTATGGCTGAGATATTGCCTTTGCGCCATTAAATTTTAACTCACTCACCCAATAGCATATTGTTAGTGAGTTTTACTGTGATCTTGTTCATTCATTGTGGTTGAATCATGTACAGAGAGATATTTCCGTTTATCGCACATTCTTTAATGCTGGCTATGCTATTTTCAGCTGGACTGCAGTGGCAACATGGCGCTGGGTAGCAAATGATGAAAACTGTGGCATCTGTAGGATGGCCTTTGATGGCTGCTGCCCGGACTGCAAGCTCCCTGGAGACGATTGTCCTCTGGGTAAGTGATCACATGCATCCATAAATGTCACATACATATCTCAAGGAAAACGAATGTGCAGTAATAATTATTTGATGCTCCCTCATTCCATTATAGTTTATATGCTTTTTTCTAACTAGATATTTGACTGAAACTACAAAGAATAAAACCTTGTGTACCCCAATTCTCAACAGTGTTTGTGGTTGATGTGAGAACTTCTACGAAGTATGAATATGCAGAGCCATAACCAGCAGATGATCTGCTGTACATTACGGATTGTTTTCTGTTTCAGTATGGGGCCAATGTTCTCACTGCTTCCACATACATTGTATAGTCAAGTGGCTCAACTCCCAACAGGTGCATCAGCTGTGTCCCATGTGTAGACAGGAGTGGAAGTTCAAAGAGTGACTCACTTAGCAAGGTGCTGCCTGAGCCCTTCCACACTAATCAGATGAACTCCAAGGAAAGGTTGTGATATCAGCATTGGTTCGAGAATGAGGGATGGATGCTTGATCAATTCCAACTGTATGGCACTAGTCTTATGTTTACTGTTATAGGAATAGATATGTTGTGAAACATTTTCTTCTTCTTCCAAAGTTTAGAAGGAACACCATTTATTCTTTCATCTTTTGTTTTTACCACTCTGCTTTTACGTAGATTGCTGTAGTTGTAAATACTACATTTAATAGTCTCCTCCTCAAGAAATAGTTATGTAACTATCTGCTGGATAAATGACATGATATCTATCTGACCAGTGTATTCATCTTTGAGGCATCCATCCGAACGTGTTTATTCATCTGTGAAGCATCCATCTGAACATGTGTATTCATCTGCGAAGCATCCATCTGACCGTGTGCATTCAACTGTGAAGCATCCATCTGAGCGTTTGGATATATCGGTGAAGCATCCATCTGAACGTGTATTCGTCTGTCAAAGCATCCATCTGAACGTGTGAAGCATTCGTCTGTCGAAGCATCCATCTGAACGTGTGAAGCATCCATCTGAACGTGTGCATTCAACTGTGAAGCATCCATCTGAACGTGTGTATTCATCTGTCAAAGCATCCATCTGAACGTGTGTATTCATGTGTGAAGCATCCATCTGAACGTGTGTATTTGTCTGTCAAAGCATCCATCTGAACGTGTGTATTCATGTGTGAAGTATCCATCTGAACATGTTTATTCATCTGTGAAGTATACATTTGTCAGTGTATGGTGGTGTGTGGTTGTGTGCATAGAGCACAGGTCACAAATCATGTGAAGTTAAGCAACATTGGTCACGGAGAGTCCTTGGATGACCCTGTTTGGCAGCTTGACTAGTGAGTGTTTCCAGGTCTTGTGTCCTGCCCCACAACAAAGCACCTATGAGTTTGTTCAAAATCTTCTCTTGTTCATCCAGCAGAAAATAGGTGCCCAGTGGTACAAGTCATATGACTACCAACCTTCTAGCACTGGGCAGCTTGGATTATCCAGGGTAATATGTCCATCATGTTGTATGCTTAGAGCAGGTCCCTGTGGCATGGAGTTCAACGATATGTAAGTGTCCAATTATTATTCATCTGTGAAGCATCATCTGATGTTGTATATTGGTCTGTGAAGCATCCATCCACAGTGGAACATCATTCTAACCAATTTTGTCTCAGTTCACTTTCAAGGTACAGAAACCAAGTATGCTGGTTGATTGCTTTACTCACTGAGACAGAGTATTAGGTTGAAAAGTAAAATGATAGAAAATCATTGTCCCTTGTTTGATTTAAGAGATATTGACAGTTAATTTCACAAAGAAACAAGTCTGTCATATAAACATACATAGAAATTTTATTTGTACCAACAAGATAAGAGATGACATGTCATCTGAAAGATGTTCTGTACCATTACACCTTTGCTGACTGTTGTAGGAGTCAAAAGGATATATATAGAGAAAAATACATTTGCTGTCTCTTGCTTGATACTGTTAATACTATATGGAGTACCTCTTACCCAAGAGGTGTCCAGTACTTTTCACTGACTCAAATACATCTCCTGTGATCTAAATGGATTGGACAAAGAATGACACCAATGGTTGTCCCCATAGTGGACATCTTCCTACATCAAAGCCTTATTTAAACTCATGCCATTTCAGCCAACTTTTATGTGCTAAAATATGCAAAGACAATTGCAAATATCAATCGTCCTTACAGAGAAGGTTTTACAAGATCAACACCCAGGTTTCAAAACATGTTGTTATTGACCTCTCGAATGTGCATTATTTTGTTTTCTTAACAAGAAAGGAAGACAAATTGGTTTGAAGTTTTCAATCAACTGTGTGCGAGTGTGTGTGAGAGAGAATCACAATAAGTAAGATGCAGTGCTGTTTTTTAGATGACCCCAATTCACTAGACTAACGCTTAGTCTCTGAATATGTATATTTTGATAGCAACAAACAAACCCATATAAATTGAAAAGGAGCCCCAGTGAGACCAGAGATTCTGAGGAAATCTAGACTTGCTTCATTTTGGACTTTAGCACTGCAGAGAGGGCTTGGCAGTAGGGAAAATAATGTGTTTCAGGGACTGAGACAGACTAGCAATTCACCTGATGAAGGATTTACTCTGAAACATATTCTTCATAATGAGGAAATTGACATTCATTGCACTCTATTCCCATTCACTGATGGAGTAAGATTATACTCTGACATGTTGTATTCTTCATAATAAAGACATTGACATAGATATATATCTCTCTTCCTTATCACTCTAAATGCCATTGAAAGACCTGATAGACCAATGTAATTCTTATTTCTGACTCCAGAATAGCAGAATTGTGACATGATTGCTATAAGTCTGTTCCCATTATACATATGCTTGGACATGTAGCAATATTCAAATACTGTCAGTGAGATTTGTCTATACCAACTGATTTACAGAACATCTACTGTACCACTGACCTCTCTTTGCCATGTTCCCGATTGTGATCCTCCCACACATTCCTGAAGCGTACCTTCCAAGGGTATCCATGTCTCAGATGCTTCAGTGTAGCAAGTTTATGTTTTTCAGTGTTGCCTAAAATAGGGTTCTTAACTTGAAGTGTTAATTCTATTGGAACTGGAGTGAGATGGTGTAGGCAGGTATATATACAGCACCTGACAAAGTCCATGTACGTCAATTTGTCGTCTTTTTGAAAAACTGTCTTTGCTTCTATTCAAATCTCTCCAGTTTTTGACATAAGTGTGTGGCATTCTCTTCCCTAAAATATGTTGATGCTATGAAGACCCAAGCATACTATTATAAAGTTTGCCTTCAGACTGTTCTGACAGTCTTTTGCAGCTAGCCAGGAGGTCTGCAACAGATAGGAGTAAAACCATTTCATTGTGTAATTTCGATGTTTTTGTGTGAAAAAAAGTATTAAAATCAGAAAGGAAAAACAACAACAAATTGTGCACATGCATTACACCGGACATCTACCTACCATACTGGATCAAGTCACTGACCCAAACCCTTAACCCCAGTGTCCAGTGTAATGCATTCTTACCGCTTTGAAAAATATAATAAATAAACTCCAATGATGCAAATTACCAAATGAAAACAATATCTATGTATATTAGTTCCCATTTATAATTCTCTGGGACCCGTGAAGGTCCGGGTTAGAATATTGATCTTCAGTAACCCATGCTTGTTGTAAGAAGCAACTAATGGGATCTGGTGGTCAGGCTTGCTGACTTGGTTGACACATGTCATCGGTTCTCAATTGCGCAGATCGATGCTCATGCCGTCGATCACTGGATTGTCTGGTCCAGACTAGATTATTTACAGACCGCCGCCATATAGCTGGAATATTGCTGAGTGCGGCGTAAGACTAAACTCACTCACTCACTATAATTCTATGGATAGTCAACTTCTTTACTACAATGAGTGCGATGTTTCGGTGTAGGTACTAACTACATGGAGATGTGGCAATTAAGTCCATCAACAAACTCAGCAACTTGGAGAACAAGTACATCCAATCATCCAACCATCTCGCCTTCTTCACGAGGTGTAGAGACCAGCAACTCATCCCCAAAGGCCTGAGATTGATTGAGAAGTCCTGTCTAATCAACCGCAGGAAAAAACATACAGAGGAAGCTTCCCAGCACCTCATCTAAGAAAGAATCCGTCACCTCTGCAAGTCTAAAGCCATCACCGTTGATACCATAGCCCATCAACAAGAGCAACTCCAGACGATCCTGATAACTGCAGACCCAATCCAACTGCAACCTCGATGCAGCCACCAAGAAGATCCACATAACCAAGCTCAACAGCCTCTTGCCCCACTGACCTGTCACCAAATGCCAGGCAAGTGATGATTACCTCAAGAAAACTGTTATCAATCTCAGCAGCAGGAACGTCAGCGGTGACGACAGCTGTACTTTCCAAAGGCTTGAATTTTGCACCGTCACCTCGCCCTGACAATGACACGTTCATTGCGAATGTTGACAAGGGGTAGCAGCAACTTGACCCTGGGCAAAGATGCCAACCTATACGATTTTATCGTGTTCGTTACGAAAAAACAACACAAAATATGCGACTACGATAGCAGTAAAAATATACGAATTTTTAAAAATAATACATTCAATTGAATTATCAAATAGCATACGTACCATACACAATCAATTTCAACCACATTTTATTCAGTATGAAGCTATATATGGATACTTACTACTGATTTAGGTGAGTACAATGTCAATAACAAGGTCTTAGCAGTGTATGAAAAAGCCAAATACCCAGGCAGACATCAGGGCTGGTAACTTTAAAATGTTACCAGCCCAAAATGGATTTAACCAGACCAGACAATCCAAAGAAAATTACTCGGATGTATTAGAATATGTTATCTAATTTTTTTACCAGACCATCGGGCTGGCTGGCTGTAAAGTTAGAACGTCCGTCAGAAATCCAGGCGGTCGGACGGGCCTTATTTCATACACTGGTCTTAGACAATATATTTACATATTTTATTTAATATGAAAAAATTCTTTGGAAAAGTTAATACTAATTTTGGCCAAAAAATACTATTTTTTGCATCAGTTTTTTGCCAAAATACTAATTGGGCTAAAATAGAGTTGGCATCTATGGCTGGGTGCAAAGTAGACTATCTGATACACCAGATAGCTAGCATTCTGGTACAGGAAAACAACACCAATGCAAAAATAAAAGATTACTAATGAAAACAAGTCAACCTTAAAACAACTGCAGTCTGACCCAGCCGTCACCATTGCCCCAGCAGACAAGGGAATAGACACCACTGCCTTCACTACCCTAACTGACAACATCCTGAATGACCCTGCCACCTACAAACAGCCGAAGAAAGACTGACCAACAGCCTACAAACTGACCACAAAGCCCTACATAAGGAGCTCACAGTTCCTCATCCACAACCACCCTACGCCCGCACCACCATCAAAGTACACTTATAATTACTAGTCTGCTCCAGAAACACCGTCCACTACAACACTGCTCAACACATTGCCCGACTTCTCACTCCCCAAGGTAAATCAGCCTCATCCTTTGTGGCCAACTCTGCCCACTTCTGCACTAAAATCAGCTCAATCACCCAGCCTGGCAAACTAATCGGCTACGATGTTGCTGACCTCTTCACGAATGTTCCCAGAGATGAAGCTCTCACCATCATGCACAGAAGACTTGAAGACCTCCACTCAGACCTAGACATCCACCAGTATAATCCACCTACTGTCTTCAACTTAATAATTACCCTCTTAGTGTACATCAAACTCATCTATTGTATAAACTCACTCTGCATATGACTATCACTCTGTACAATAAGCTACTCTGCTCAAATCACTAGTTAACAATCCACTGTATATCAATCTTGTCAGTTGTATATACTCACTATGCATCTATGTATATATTCTCCTTGTTTCAACTGTTTGTATCACTTGCTTGATAACGGTGTTAGTACCTACACCGAAACATTGCACTCTTTGCAATAAAGAAGTTGACTATCCATAGAACTTGGTTTTCCTTCACCTATACAACTTCTAAAATGCCTTTTAAATGTGCAAAGTTCATGTCTGTACCTATCAGGAGTGTTTTACCTGTGAGTTGCACCTCAGCATCACATAGCATAGAGTTTTGAAAGTCATCTGCCATCTCCCAGTACTGAGACTGTAACCAAGGAGCAGGACGTTGTGCTTGGAGTGAGGCACTGGCTATTGGCTCTGCAAACAGCACACTAAATGCTAGTGATGGTCCAGAAACAGTTGTGATGTTTACAATGCACATGATAAAATGGAACATGTTCTGCTGCCTTGATGATTGTTGGAGGGGAGCGGTCATGTAGAGTTTTCCCAGAAATTATTGAGAAAATCTTTGTTTCCTAATACTGATAATGGAATTTTAAAATAGGTGTTACATTATGTAGTAAGGTACTAAATATGGGAGGCAACTCTTGCAGGCTTAAGAATGAACCTTACTACATCAAGAGTTATCTCCTCTGGTGTAGCAGACCGCTTCCTTTGGTGACATGGCAGATTTGACAGAAGAAAAAAAAATCTGGTTCTAGATATTCATGTATTAGATATTTGCTGAAACAACTTTCTCAATAATTTCTGGGAGTACTATACCTAAACAGGTACAAAGTATGTGACCACTTGGCCTCATGGGTTTCGTCCATGTGTTATCTTGCAGTGAATGAACATAATATAATTCATTACTATCAAGATGTGATTTAAAAGTTAATTTATTTGTTTCTTTTCAAAGCAGGCAGTTCCATTCTTATGCACTTTGGTGTGGGATTTCTACCAAGCAATTCTGTTTATAAGCCTCTCAATTTCTCATGAGTTTTCTCTTATTGAAATGTGATTTATTAACACATAAACCTGACATTCTGAACTAAATTGTGAAATCAGTATATAGTCACAAAAGATAAGTATACATAAAAGTTTGTATATTGATATCAGTCTTGACAGAATTCCCAGAGACCGTGAGCAGGAACAACTTCAAATGATTAGATTTCGTCAGTTTTCTTGAGAGTTACCAGAGATATTACCTTTCCCACAGTCCCACACTGAACTGACCATAACCACAATAGAATGTGACCATCAGCCAGGGAGGCACACACTAATTAGCAGTTCCTTACATATCATATATTGTAGGTGAACTTATGATCAAGTACAATATTGTGTATGTATTTTATAACATTTCAAAGTCAAGAAGAACAGGAACGCAAACTAACCTTGTTGAAGTTGAGTGTCTATTTGCCGACAGAGTTGGTACAACTCACTGCCTTTCCCTTGGACACGTTCACCTAGAAAACATGGATATAAACAAGATCCAAAAGCTGACATGAAAGAAGACATGGCAACAGTCACCATTCTGTACAGGATTTTAAATTTTTCTGAAAGACTTTCCGGGATTACCAGTGGAAACCAGCTTGATCAATACAAAAAAGTTTCATATAGATATTATAAAAAGGTCATAAGTAATCCAGGTTATAACAATGGAAAGGACAATAAACAATTGTTTTGAAAAAATTCGACTTTCTGTTTTTAAGATGTCATGCTGAGGATTTTTTTTAAGCATCTGATGCATATCAGTGGAAAATTTTTAATGTTTATTTTTTCAGTCCTCCAGTTACAACTCTTGACCCTCTGACGCTAGTCCCTTCCATTTCCATTCTCAGAAGTCGTCATTCAGGGATTGCTGATCCCTCACTGTCCCTCGTCTGACCGTGATGATTGTTTGCCTCCTGTAGAATCATCCCTTCCTCAGTTTCCACTGTAAGATGCTACAATTAAGCCCATATCTCTGTTCTGTTAATTAACTACTGGTTTCCCTTGTTATCTCATAACTGTTGCTGTTTTCGCATGTACATATATAGCTGTCTGTTTCCTACTACTTTCATTCACCTGATGAAGCAGTAAGAATATACTTCGAAACGTGTCCATCACAATAAAGAAGTTGACATCCATAACATTCTTGCCTTTAATCTCAGTTCTATCACTCCTCCACCTTTGGTTATCCCTCCCTGCGCATTTGGCGAATCTTCAGTTTTCTTTGAAAACCTGTCCGATACCCTGGTCTCTTCGAAAATCCCACAATGTTCTTCGTGTTTTACCTATCCTCCTCCTCCACCATCCAGGGTGTTTACTAAAATGTCAATGCTGACTTTGTCTTCTGCTCAGAGGTCACTCCTGTTTGCTTCATACAAGGACCTGCCTCCAGTGGTCACGAATGTCTGCCATTGCTTTAGCTGCTTTTTCCTTCACAAACTCTCAGATGTCTTCTCTCATATGAGCTGCAATGTTATCTTTCCCTTTGTTACCCTTTGCCTCAGGTTCGTCATTCCTGGATTGTCGATTCTTCTTTCTTTGATGGCCCCTCTTTCGTATTTGCAACCATTGTCTTGGACTGCTTCACAACCTGAGTTTACCAATCATCCGTCGATCCAGGTCCCTACGCAACATACAATTTTCTTGAGTTGGGAATCATTGATCACAGGATCCTGAGGCTGGTTGTGTGGGCAATTTCTTCAGCTCAGAAGAATGTGCCACGCTCCAACCCTCTGGTCTTGCCTTGTCAATCTCATATCCCATCTTCAAGTTGTTCACCTCACTTCCTCTGCTACATCAAAATACAGTGGAAACCACCTAAGTAAAGACCGCTTAAAGGTCACATGCAACCAAAAAATCAAACATAATTAAAACACAATTATCACTTCTTCATGACATATAATATGCATTGCTGATTATGAAAAAACAAATAAACAAAATTATAAGCGTATAATCGCAAATCAAAAGTGCAATATTTTGTACTTGGGTTTACCTCCCTCGAAACGAAGCAACCGGGATACCGAACCCAGTCAGAGCGGGTGGGTGTGCACTCAAGTGTAACGGCTGGTTCATTAGCAGATGCCGCGTTCACGGCTCATTGTGTGTGTATATATAGAGATGTTGGGTTTTGTAAATACATGCTCATTTTTTGTGTATAACATTTTGCAATCAACAGACATCATAACATGTCACGTGTTCAAGTATCACACCTGCCTGTCTGTGTAATTACATAATGTGACAGAGACCGAACTCGAGCCATAAATCAATGCGTTTTGTTTATGGTGTATAGCCTGATTTGTGTTAAGTTCAAATTGCATGTGGTCAGTGATCGAAGTTGTGTATTGAATATTGTCATTAGCAGACAGGCAGGCAGACACACAGGTGTCAATAAAACAAGACATTGAGTTTTGTCTGTGACAGCGACATATCTATATCACAGTTAGAAATTCTGTCAACGCTAAATAATGACATTGCTTTTAAGTATCGAACTGAGAAAGTGACTCGGTAAGAAGAACGTGTGGTGAAATAGACAAATGAAATTATATAAACAGTTTATTTACTGTCATAACATATAAAAAGCTCGTGCCTGTGAGATATCAACAAAACATTATGAAAATAGCTCACACCAAAGCCTTCACCGAGTATTCACCAGACAGCCCGCTTCCAAGTTGCGCGAACCTATTTCACTGCGCACATGCTATGAGCGCAGCCCAGCTGTTGAAACCCGTATTCCCCAGAAAAGTCTGGGGAAAATTAGGGAAACGTTTGAACTCCGATTTCGCGCCGTTTTTTTCATCGCGTTATTTTTCAACTTTATAAGTTGAATTTGCATTTTTGACGCTTTGTTTCGGTAAGTCCATACCGAAAGGTATCAGAATCTGCAAAGTTGTGTTTTACGTTGCATGTGACCTTTAACTAAACAGATAAGTAAACACTTTTCTTTGGTCCCGGCGAATTTCTTCATTAATTATCACTATTAGAGTCTGGTTAACTAAACTCGGATAAGTAAACAATACCGCTTAACTAAACGTCTCTCACAGTCCCTGGAGGTAAATTACTTAACAAAAGATACTGGATAACTAAATTAGCGATCACCACATAATCCGACATGAGGGGCAGTCGTGTCAGTCTCCAGTCAAACAAACATCCTACTTACAGCTCGCTGGCGTCAAGCAGTTGACAATACACTGACAACTGGAGGCCAGCCCTGATAAGTGGTTCATTGTTACATATGCACACATATACATGCATATGGTTGTCATTTGCAGGTTTTTATAAGTTTGGATAAGTAAAATACCTGATAAGTAAACAATTTTGGCGAGTCCCTTGAAATTTTACTTATCAGGTTTCCACTGTATTAGAGCTTTGCTGTCATCTCCCCTTCCAAGACCAGCGTTGAGAGGGTCGATCCATCGTGAACTCGCCTTTGGATTGTCAATCAACTACGTCTTCCGAAGCTCCTCTTCTGTTGACTTGACTACATCCTTTGTTTTGAATGATAAGGACATCAACAGCATTATTTTGCTTCCTAAACCTATTATCTTACAGCTTTTAGCATTACCAGATTCTGCCTTAGGAGGTCTGTGATGGCTTACTCACTCTTCTTCGCTTACAAGTTCTCTTTGAAAATTTGTTTACATCGCGAATGATGGTCACCGGCTGGATATAATTTAGAGGCAAGCATAGTACATCAACACAGATGAGATCCACAAATACTTGCTTACCTCAAGTAATCTATTCTCACAAGCAATCACATTTGTGGAGTATGATTCAAAATCCTACTACTCAAGGGATTCAGAATTCAAACTGTTCCTCTCCTGTCTTGTTTGACAGTCAGTCATTAAGCTGAAAGAGGGTGAAGTGTGGTTCAATTGATTGAATAGGAGCAGAACATTATCCAAGGCAACCTTCCTGACATTCTTTGAGTGTTTGTGAGGGCTGTTTTGAAGAACTTGCTTGTCAGGACTGAGAGCTGAAAGGTTCTACTATTCTGAGGGCAGTTAAACTTGGGGTAGAGCAGGGTTGCCCTCACTCTTTGCTCTGAATTTTGTCCTTTGACAAATGATACGGTGTGAAATCACATAATTTGGGACCCCACTCCCTGGGAGTATAGTGACACTAAGGGGTTTTATGAAGAAAACCATTACATGTGAGCCTATGACTGACATTCAGGGATTGGGAAGTCTTGGCTAGCATCCTTGTGAATCATGGCACTCATGGTTGTAGTCTTCCTACAGATCAGGCCAATCTGCAGCCCACAATCTCACCGCACGATAAATGCATAATGTGAAATAGCATACATTTTAAACATTGTAACCATATTCTAACCTTATGTATACTTATGCTATGTCATACAATGGATTCCCACCTGACCAGCCCAACTACACAGATTACAGCTAGTTGGCTCCAAGTCAAGAGAAATAGCTGGAAGTCACACAATCGACTTTAGCATGATGCATGCGTTGCATCGGCTACCTGTGACTGCCAGCCTTCAGGGATGTTAATGCTTGGCACCGTCAAAAGAAGGTAGCAAATCTTCCTTGGACCACCAGGAGTCAAGATCTAAATACCAGGGATTTACATGGAGTCCTGTATTTGAGGGTCCCTGGGACTCATACTCATAATTTTCAGGGTTTTGGACAAAAAAAATTGTGGTCCTAGACACTTATATATTATTATTAATACTGTTATTGTATTGTGTATCATGATCATCACACTGTTACATTAAATTGCAAATAATACCATAACCCAGCTAGTGGCAAACTCAGTGGTAATGTATTGTCACTTGGAATTTTTACGAAAAGTATCCCTGTGGACGCGCTAACATATTTTGTTGCGTCCATTGTCCATTTTTATGAGTATAGGACGCAGGAATTCGCGTCCTGTAAATCCCTGAAATACCACACAAATCATCCTTGGACCACCAGGAGTCAAGATCTAAATCCCACACAAATCTTCCTTGGACCACCAGGTGTCAAGGTCTAAATCCCACACAAATCTTCCTTGGACCACCAGGAGTCAAGATCTAAATACCACACAAATCTTCCTTGGACCACCAGGTGTCAAGGTCTAAATACCACACAAATCTTCCTTGGACCACCAGGAGTCAAGATCTAAATACCACACAAATCTTTGTTGGACCTCCAGGAGTCGAGATCTAAATACCACACAAATCTTCCTTGGACCACCAGGAGTCAAGATCTAAGGGACTGTTCATAATTTATGGCTAGGGGGGTGATGATGATTATTATGGAGAAGCGTGTACAATGTGAATGAACCACCACCCACACACCCCCCTAAAATTTATGTACAAAGAAAGTGATCCCCCCTGCATGTCATGTACAAAATCAATGACCCCCCCTCCCCCTTCCCATATTTTTAAAGCTTAATTTTAAAATATTTTTTTGTACAAAATTGCTGACCCCCACTAGAACATGTGTACAAAATTGATGTCCCAAAAATGACACACCCCCTCTTAAAATCATCATCACCCCCTTAGCCATAAATTATGAGCGGTCTCTAAATCCCCACACAAATCCCACACAAATCCCTCCTCCTTGGACCACCAAGAGTAAAGATCTAAATCCCACACAAATCCTCCTTGGACCACCAGGAGTCAAGGTCTAAATACCACACAAATCTTCCTTGGATCATCAGAGTCCAGATCTCGATCCCACAGAGCATTTTTTTAACATTACTGGTCACAGAATACGCCAGAGAGATCATTTAGTACAAAATCTTGATTTATTGAAACAAGCCCTACATAAAAAATGGAACGCAATACCTGCAACAACAATACTCAAAGTTCAGAGCAGTACCCCACAGTGCAATATGACATCTTAGTGATGTTACCTATGCATTCGGTCCAGTGACTTCTTCAATATTTCCTTCCATCCATCTATCAAATGTTTGTAATTAGATCTAATAGTTAGATTACAGTTACATTATTTCTACAATGTTTATTTCATAATCCACAATTGTCTTTGACTTGAACGTTTTGAATGGGAGCCCACCACCAGCACATTTACTCAGTTTTGCCCTTTCTTCAGGTGGAATGTGTGTTGATGTAAAAATTCCATTAATCTACATCGGACGCTGATCACTGGCATCTCCATTATAGAAGCCTTGACAGCAGAAGCATTCAATCGTGGATACACTGAACATGAATAAGACATGTTCCAAGGGACTGTTGAAACTATTTGGTTATGTATCTTTGTTACATAGAACCTGTGTTTTTCACTATTCACCTCACTATTTCCATGCATGTTCTTCATATTCTGTTAGCTGAAAACTTTAAATAAACAGGCCATGTAATATTTAACAAGTGTAAATCCATTCAAGTTCAACATATGTTGGAGACTGTGGATGTGTTTGATATTCAAACCCACACTATCCTTATGGTATTGAATATTTTCAGCATTATGACCCTCTAGAAAAATATGAGCAGTCTTATAAGGAAGGGAATTTTATTGATGGCAACTTCTTTATTATGAGGAATTATGAAAGAGTAAGTATTGTCATTCCACTGCAATTCGGTCTCCCTACACTTTTCACAACTTCATCTCTACACAATCAAAAACCTTAAATAGTTGGTTTCAGCTACAGCAGCTTCAAAGCTTCAAGTACAAACTGTCAATGTGTACCATCCAGTGTCTTGAGTCTAGGGAACATCCTCTGCACCTCCTCCAGATAGTTCACATGCTGACACACTGGGTTTGAAAGCTTGTTGATTCTGTCTTGAAGACGTAAATCTTGCAGATACTCAAGCCCAGTCAGACACACCAAGGACTCAAACCTTGCAAATAAACAAAATTGGAAATTTTAATTATAAATTGTATATTTATATACTTATCCTATCTCACGGTATGCACCTCTCTCTCTTACTTCAACCATGGTGTGGAAATTATTATTATATTAAAAGTGCATAACTGGATTATTTACAACTATTACCTAAATAAGAGATCAGAGATAATACAGTCAGCACAAAAGACAAGCTTGATTGCCGCTGACAGATCGTACTTACTCGGTTTTTGTCGACTGAAGTAAACCTATGTTTCGATGTCGGGATGTTTACAACGGCTCTCCTTAACAGATGATTGTTAGCAATCATCACAATTGAGAATTAAGTCACTTCCGGGTCCATACAGAATGAACAAATACGATCCGTCAGCGCAAGAGTTACAACTTATTGAGTATGAGTGTAGTTTTACATAATAACTAAGTTCATCCATCTCACGGTATGCATTTATCCTACAGTTGGACGGTGGGCGCAGATTACCCTGTGTCAAATGTATAACAACCGTGAAAGTCGCATTACACAAGGAGGCCTGGAGAAAGCACCAACTCCCGATTTGCTATACTTCAATACTTGTGATGGGTTGCTTCACATTGATAAACCCCTTGGCTTACACAGCACAAAGACTCTAGGGAGTGGGCGGTCCTGAATCAATGTGGTTTTCAGCTGCAACTATTGTTCAAGACAAAAGGACGCAGTTTGGCAAGTAAACCCCGCCTCCCCGCAATTTCTCAGAAGACCCCAGTGAATTAAAGTCTAAGACCTTAATCTAGACAGCACCTGCTTTGAAACCATCCCCCACAGACACACTCTGGAAGGCGGTGAAAGGGAAGACAGCCCGGTGCTCAACTTGTTTAACGTTCAGTACCAATCAATCATTCCAAGATGAGAAAGGAACTTTGGAACGGAAAACCCGTAGGAATTCGGAAATCAACACTTCCATAACGTAATTGCTCGCAAGAGTAGAGGTCAGAAGTACAAGACGGGCCTCACAGTCTATAGAGTGATGGGTATGACAGTACTACAATGCCCCGGCTACGCCAGGTGAGGGTGATCAATGCCCAGGATAAAGTAGAACAAGACGAAAAGATAACATCAATATCTTCTTTTGAACTACAAGGTGACAAGACCATCACGAGGAAGGCTGCAACTTCATCTGCGTTGATGGGCCAATGAAAGCTGCTGTGTTAACACCAAAGGGCCAAACTGGTGTAAGCCCTCCACATTAGTGACGGATAGATCTTGTAGATAGTGTGAGGCAATGACTGTTCCTGACCTCCAGAAACCACCCTCGTTGATAGCATTAAGAGAACAGTTGCTGTGTAGTGCCATCATTGAAGCCAAAGCTCGTGTCTTGTGAGGGTTCAGAGTAACAGGCGGCGAAAGGTTATTGTAGGCGTAGGCGCTTAGGATGGTTGAACAGATCTAAAGCACAAGTGTTGTACATGAGACTTCTGCTGATGAAGCTAGAAACAATGGGATGAAAAGTCTCTAGCGTAGCCTTCGTCGGTCTTGAGATGCAGCAAGGTACACTTGTAATTAGCGAGCAGAGTGAGAAATCCTCAGTGTCGTCGAGCCCAGTATCGTGTATGTGTAGTCATTCCATTTATCAGTACTGCAGTAAAGTAAGACAAATTATGCTGAAATGGCCGAGAATGTAGTTTTGAGAAGTTGAACTGAATTTAAGTTCATGTTGGTCCTAACCTACTGATGTTGCCATAAATGGAATTATTACCCATATGGTGACACATAGCCCCTCTCTCTCTGTGTGTGCGTGTGCGTGTGCGTGCATGCGATTCGCTTGGGCAATACAAAATTTCACACTCGTTTCATATAACTTGTATGGCACACTTGCTTTTGTAATAATCTCTATTTAAGTTTCAGGCTTCTACTCAAAACACTCACTTTGTGCTAAATGCGCAACCCGCATGTTTCAGAGGGGTCTGGATGAAGAACTCATTGCTCGCACAACTGGCCACAGGAGCGATGCTGTGAGACTCTATGAGAGTGTCAGTGATGAACAGGATGTACACAGGAGGTTGCGCAGGGTGTCCCGGCAAAAGTTCCCGAAAACTGTTACAACCGACATGTTAACTCCACCATGCACAGTGGCTGCTCCGTCAGACGACTATGTTCACGGCAGTATTAATATCTCCCTCAATATCCACTTGAAGTAAAAAAACCCGTGAAAATGTAAATTATCACAAATACATTTACTGCAAATTACTTGTTTGTTGTTTGGAAAGTAGTTCCGGTCCTGGGTTTAACTGATTATGCTGTCAGTTAAACCCTGGTCTGAAACAAAGGAGAAATGGTTTAAGCCCAGGATAAAGTAGAACAAGACGAAAAGATACATCAATATCTTCTACAAGGTAACATGACCAGCCCGAGGAAGGCTGCTCCTTCATCTGCGTTGATGGGCCAATGAAAGTTGCTGTGCTAGCACCAAAGGGCCAAACTGGTGTAAGCCCTCCACATCAATGACGGATAGATCTCGTAGTATGAGGCAAAGACCATTCCTTACATCCAGAAACTAACCCTCCATGATGGCATTAAGAGAACAGTTGCTGTGTAGTGCCATTGTTGAAGCCAAAGCTCGTGTCTTGTGAGGGTTTGCAGTAGCAGGTGGCGAAAAGCGCGTCAGATGGTTGAATACATCCAAAACGCAAGCGTTGTACGCCAGACTTTTGCTGATGAAGCTGTAGACAATGGAATGAAAAGTCTCTTGCATAGCCTATGTTGGTCTTGAGATGCAGCAAGGTTCACTTGTAATGCCCTAACCAGGCAGAGTGTCGTTGGGCCCAGTATCGCGGACAATGGGGGAATGATGAAAAGTCTGTCTGGCTGTCCAGGTAACTGATTCTTGGCAATTAAGTCCCATCTTAGGTCAAGAAAGACTTTGCCATGCCTCTTCCATTCAAAGCACACTCGGTTGACATCTAAGGCAAGAAGTTAAGAGATGCGTGCAGCAGTTGCAAGGGCCACTATGAAGAAGGTCTTGAAAGTAATACACTCGAAATCTTTCTCCCCCAGAGGCTCAGACTCATCTGAGGCGAGGTGTCTGAGGACGACCGAGAGGTCCCAAGCCAATGGCCGGAATTTCTTAGACTGGTCAGCTAGTATAAACGAGTGTAATAAAGACAGGAGCAGAGATAGTAGAGACTTTAGCACCCGAGGCTGTGGCTATTACAGTATTGATGGCTGCCAGATATGTAGCCAACGTGGAGCCTTTCAATTTCCTGGAACTACGTAAGTGCTGCAGATACTCGGCATCTATCTGAGGTGACGCTGTGATAGGGAAAGTGATGTCCTTCATCTTACAATAAGCCTCAAATTCTTACATTTGTCATCATAGGGACTTGAGTAAAGGTATAATGAGCTATAGTAATAGTCGTAGCTACTCGCTTCTAGTAACCCTTAGTAATCAAGGATTAAAGCATATGTGCCGACCTGTAGATGGAGCCTCTGTGGTGACCAATGTAGCTGTGGATCAGTACGTCAGCGCTGTCGGGAAGCGATACTTCTGGGCGGTCAATAAGGCGCGACAAAAGGCAGTGTAAAAGCCAATGTCGATTGGAGTTTGAGTAGAACTCGTGGAAGTAATGCCGGTGTTGGGAATGCATACGTGTTAAGGCCCTCCTAGGGTATTGCTAACGCCATGGTGTTCCTATGCTAACGGATCCGGGAACCGGGAACACAAACCTGGGTAGCTGAGGGTTCAGTCTGGTTGCAAACAGGTCCACCGCTGAGCTCATGAGCCTTGAATATCTGAGGATGTAGCTTCCACTCAGTCGGGGATGGTCCGGCTGATCCGGACAGTGAATCGGCAATGATGCTTTAAACCCTGGTATGTGATCAATAGGGATGGGTATTGCAGAGAATTTTCATATTGCGATATATTGCGATGCGAAAGCATGTATTTCGATATGTATTGCACTATATTGCATGAAGTATTTTAAAACAAAAAACGACTTATAATCGAGTTAATTCTTGATTTATAGAGCAAAAACACGACAAAATCACTAGGCTTGATTAAGCTTTAATAAAAACAACTTTTAATCATGATAAAATAAAAATGTGAATAATATTTGGCACAAATGAAACAAGGACATATCAGAACATTTCCGAGTGTTACGAAGTTTTCCAAATGCAAGTAAAAATACCGGTTTTGTGATCAGCGTATGGCAATACGTATCGTTTTCATGTCTGAACCGTTAAATACCGGTAAACCGGTTATATTGCGCAGCCCTAGTGATCAACTCTGACTGTGATATCCAGTGAGTCCATGAGATGGAAGAACTGCTGAACCCAGTGAAGTAGGTGCGGTGATCCTGTGGACCCCATCTGGTTGATGTACCACACCACAGTGGCATTGTCCGATTGTACAAGTAGACTGGTTGATCATAGAAGTTGAGCCCAATGGGCTATTGCCAATATAACCGCCCTGGACTCTAGTTCGTTGATGTGACAGGACTGGTCTGCGGAAGACCACAACCCTGCCACTTGAAGATCCTGAAGGTGATCTCCCTACCCTTGTAGAGAAGCGTCCACATAGAGGTGATGAGAGGGAGCGAACGGCCTCAAAGAGACCACTCCGCAAAAGATTGGTTCTACCAGCCACCATCGTAGATGGGGATGGAGCATTGAAGGTAGTATGGGCATCGCCGATCCTGATATAAGGTCAGAGGAACGGTTATAACGGCCATCCTAACTGGTGAAGTAGCTAGATGTAGAACCCGGATGATAGATGTACCACACCACCAATGGTACTTGATCATATGAGAAAGTCGGCCAAAGTGTTATAGCTGGGATAACTGCCTTGATCGCCAGATCGTTGACGTGGAGGGTCAATACGTCGCATGACCACAGTCCTGTTACTGGTAAATCGTGAAGATGAACTTCCCAATCCTTGAACTGATGTGTCTACGAAGAGGCAGTATGTGTCAAGTAAACTCCACCGCAGACATTTGATTCGACGAGTCACCCATGCCGCAGGGTGAAGAATCGTTGAAGGTAGAAGGATCGGCACTTGGTGATCAGCGATCCTTAGAAACGGCCGGAAAAAACTCTGAATCGTCCGTAGTCAAGGTAAAACTCTTGACGGAAAAACTAGGGCTGACATTTTAGTCCGTTTGGCTCAAAAGCGGACCGATGAATTGCAATCTAACTTGAAAACTAATTAAAATATAATACTCAATGAAACGCTGATCATAATCAAAACATCAGACCAACTCAGTGATTTTTTTGCCAAATAATAAAAAAGTTGTTTAACAAACTATCATTAAAATATTTACACAGTTCACTATATGTTACGAGGGGGGAGTGCAAAGAGAGGAACAACCAGGTGTGCAAGAAATGATGGAGACAGCACAGCACAGGTAAATGACTCAATAACTTTGTCGGCACTTGTGCTCGTGCTTCTCCTACACCTGGCTGTCCCTTTCTCTGCAATCCTCCCTCGTAACAAATAGTGAACTGTGTCAATATTTTAATGATAGTTTGTTAAACAACTTTTTTATTATTTGGACATATATTCGGCAAAAAAATCACTGAGTTGGTCTGATGTTTTGATTATGATCAGCGTTTCATTGAGTATTATATGTTTATAAGTTTTCGAGTTAGACTGCAATTCATCGGTCCGCTTTTGAGCCAAACGGACTATAGTAAACACCGCAAATCTGGCCGTTTAACAATAATTACTAAAGGAGGGATGAGTTGATTCGGTGAGCAACCGCTGAATGTACTGGTAAATGAATGCACTAAAACAAAATCACTGTCTCGCTGTCTCGTTATAACGCTGCCTGTCTCGCGCTTCACTGCTATTCGTTGTTTCGCAGAATGTAGTAGTCCCCTGTAGATGCGGTACACAGACATACAGTCGAATATGTTGTTGAAACTCCACACACAAAAATACTCCATGTGATATACTGTGGAAAACTGTATAGAAGTCAGTCTGGCCGAGCTGTCTTGCTATAACGCTGCCTGGCCCACGCCTCACTTTGATAATTCACAGAATGCAGTAATTCCCTGTGGATGGTATAAATCCGGTGCGCAGTCATTGCATTCTGTCGAATATGTAGTTGAAACTCTCATGTGATAATACAGTGAAACTGTATAGTAACCAGCATAGTCATCTATCGATTTCTGAAGAACTAATGGTGTACCTCCAGTCAACTCCCTGTATGACGCCACCGGTGCATAGTTAGGCTGACCCCCATGATATTGGATGCAAAGATGGTAGACTGAGAGCGTACATATGAAGTTGAGAACAGCTCTAATATCATAAGTAGAGAATCTACAAGAGCTGGTGGCGAAATGTAGAAAGTGTAGGTGTGTAGATCTCACGATGCCTTGGCAAAGCAGAAACAGAGTGATGTGTATCATAATGTTGGTTAAAAGCCAGCCGTAGAAATATCAACCTCACCTCACCCTATTAGTAGAGGTCTGTAGAGCTGGTGTCAATACTTAGGGGTAGATTCGCTGAACGTATCGCTCATCAGCTGTAATTATAATCGGGTTATTAGTAGCCCCAGCTGTGTGTAGATACAATGAAGGGGTCTCCCCGTGGAGGAAGGAGAAGGGGAATCGTCAAACATTGACTGGTGAGATTGGCCAACTCGGCGGTAGGACTTAAAACGCATCTAGCTGCCATACTTGCTTCAAAGCTGTTGCCATGTATCTTGGAAATAAATTCAAGACACACTTAGGTTTGACTGCAGCGCTCTAGAAGTAGCCTGCGACGAATAGGTGGAGATGAATCAGAATGGGATCGCCAAAGCAGACAGGTTCACTGAACCTAACGTCAAGTTCAAAGGCTGAAACGCAGTGGCCGAGACGATAAGTGGTGCGGTGAATGTAAATCAGTGTACACTCAGTACTCCGAGGGTAAGTTGCCAACAATGGTTAGTGATGAATTAGGATAGAAGTCATAGGCTGGATGACCAGACTGGTAGGGATTGCCGAGATTGTTGAACTAAGTGGGAGCACCGAACTGAGCGTGAGCGCTGAACCTAACGGGAGTGCAGAACTGGGCTGACATGCCGAACTGAAATGGGAATGGTGCACTGGTCTGAAGCGTTGATCCAATCGAAAGCGGCTCACTGGTCTGAAGTGGTGCACTGGTCTGAAGAGTTGATCCAATCAAAAGCGGGGCACTGGTCTGAAGCGTCGAACTGAACGGGAGCAGTGCACTGGTCTGAAGCGTTGATCCAACCGAAAGCAGCGCACTGGTCTGAAGTGTCGAACCGAATGGGAGCGACGAACTGAATGAGAGCGGTGCACTGGTATGAACTCTTGACCAAGACAGGATCGGTGCATTGGACTGAAGTATCCCACTGAATGGAAGCGGCGCACTAGTCGGAAGCGCCGAACCAAACTGCAAATGTGCACCATGCTGAAGCATTGAATCAAATGGCAGAATGGAGCTGGGTTGATGCGTCATAATAAACGGAGTCGTAGAGGGGAATCGTTGAACTGGAAACCATTGCTTGAGTTGGAGGGATCGCCATTCCGGTGGATTGAGAAATCGTCACAGGAGCCGTAGGACGTGACTGAGACGATGAAGTATGTAGCACCACCAGTCTAGTGGGAGAATCAGCATGTCTCATCACTGGACTAGAGGTCGGAGAACAGAATAAACGTCAGAGATTTTGCACTGAGGTATGAGTCCACTGGGGCGTCCAAAAAATCATCCTCCGGAGAGGGTGAAGGGTGAAGAATGCCGAGCTGACTTATAAGGAGGATCCCGCTTAGATTGTTTCGATGATGAGAGGTCTCCTAAATCCCTGTCTGCAACTCGCCTACTACCAACTCTATGATAAGCTGTAAACACATCATCATCCAAGTTAGCACAGTAAGAGCAATGACGAGACCAGTCGCACCAACTGATGCAATCCATGCATAAAGTATGAGGATCCGCAGCAGAAACGTTACTTCTACATCTGTCACAATATTTCCTCTTCCTAGTAGAACAATTATTCTTCCCATAATGAGAAACAAGACGAAAGGCAGACAGAACCTAACACACGTCCACACTAGTGGACGACAGCAAAGAGAATGACGGTAGTGGGATGTCATGTGACTGTCCTGGAAACTTTGCACGTTTTACAGGGATGATTGCCATGTCCAGGAATGGGAACAGTGGGGAGTGATCGGTTGGGAGATAGCCAGAAGATTTGATTCAACTTAGCCTACATTATGTTTCCAGCCCATGGTCGAAGTAAGAGAGAGAAGTGCACACCTTGAGATAGGACAAGTTTAAAATTATAATACAAATTTAAAAAACTACAGCATGAATATTGCTTAACATTCGTTAATACAGCAAGATATGTGTATTCCACTGGAAGCTTCAAGCCTCGATAACAAGCCTGAACTTTCTCAAACATCATTCTGAAGGGTAATACAAAACTGAATGCAGGGTGTGTGTGGTGGGCGAGCTGGCTAAGGCACCAGGCTAGTGATCCAGCGAGCATGAGGTACCGGGATCGAGCCCACCTGTGACCAGGTGTAAAAACCTTGGAGTCAACTTCGTGTGCAGACTCTTTCAGTGTTGTCACAAGCCCAAGTGTAGAGTATACAACCCTGTGCACTTAAAAGAACCCACGAATCCGTTGGTATATGACCAGATGGTGGCCACATGAATACGTGCAAACACCTAGTTGCGGGTACAGCAAAGTGCAGTAAACTTGGACTATGTGTCCCAGTCCACCCAACTGTGAATGGGAACCTCGTAAGGATGGGAAAGCCGCAAAATCTCGGTGCGCCTTGTGGCAGCAAGAGTTTTGTGTTCCCCCAGCTGAGATTGATAATAAAATGTGCCCCTTGAGATTGACATCCAATGATCGAGGGAAAAAATACCAGCGCCTTGAGCATGCACTAGTGCGTGGATATGTACGCTATATAAATATCCAATAATAATAAGAAGAAGAAGAGGCAAAGGAAATCACACAAATCCCTCCACAACAGACATCCTGACATGCACCACTGACTACTGACCACTGCCACATACCTGAACAACACAGGTAGAAGCTGTGTCGAATATTACTCAAGTGTTTCCTGTTTTCACAACCAAAGCATTTCATCTAAATCAAAACTGTTCTTGTTGAGGTCTTAAAACTATGGAGTTTAATTCCAGTTTAATTCAATAAATTAATGTTGAGGACAATCCAAAGTATACATTGCTGTCTATGGAATACATGGAAGTTTAAGGTATACATATAACTACAAGGCATACCAGCATATAAAGGTTCAGGGCATACACACGTCATGAATGGTAGGGACAGAGCAAAACCAAACATAGAATACAACATAAAACTTTGTATCAAAACATGACAATGACATTACCTGCTTTCCACTGTACACAGAATCCTATGTAAAGTATGCACTGAAAATGGATGCAGACAAACCTCAAGCAGGTGCTAATCCTGCAGTGAACTCTTTTGGGAATGAAAACACCTAACACCATGACTATAAGAACATACCTCAGACTTGATTTAACTATTGCCACAAGGTCACAAGCTGGAACTAACCTGGCTATGTGATTCCCTGACAAACTGAGAGTGTGAAGCTTCTCCAAAGACTGCAGGCCTTCTGTGGAAGGAAAGCAGTGAGGCATAACATGAAGGTTTCATTTAGAGTAACACGAATCATGACTCAACCTTCACACCATAAACATTGTTACCAAAGTGAAATTCCTGTCATGGGCTATACATTTATATACTCTTAACAAGAAAGTAGGGGATCATGAACTATAGATGTTCATATCAAATATTTGAACAAAGACATGTGTTGATGACAATCTCTCCGTGCAAGAATTTCTATTTGGGCTCGTTTTGGAAGAGAAATTGTATTGCAGTGTATTGGGAGGTGAACTGACAGTGAGTGGCACTAACTGTTCATGGAGAACTTGTTTTCTACATACTCAGGCCTCAGAAATAAATGAATAGATTCCACAGGGTGCAGTGGCATGCTGTCAGCTAGCAAGGGTACCTTATTCTACGTATTTAGAGCTCCCTTACTAAACTGTGGCCCCATCATAAATATGTGGCATGCAGATTCTCATACTGACAACATTTGTACCGTGTTGTTAAACTTTCAGTAATGACACTTTTGTGTAGAAATGAATTGTACTGATGTAAAGCTTTTTCCCTGGCTGTAAGACGACAGATTATCTCTACAATAAATACTCAAGGGACGATACATGATAAACGCCCCTTTGGGTATTAATTAGATAAGCACCCGAGGCCCTAAATATGTCAAATACGGTACTTCTCGCTGGTGGAGTGTCATGATAGGGAGACATGTGCATCAATGTTATAGGCTGCCAGTCATTTTGACTGAACTTGGCCCGGTGCTACAAGAGGAGTGTAACAGACTCTCCCAGGTAGAAATTGAAACTAAAGAAATAGGTTCAAGCAACATTGAGATGCTGTTAGATGGATGGTCCAAAGTTTTACCATTCTACATGTATAAAGAAACACTGCAAAAACTGCCCACAGTCAGCAGACTAGCATTTTTGCCGATCTGACATTGTCATTGATTTTGTACATGACATGCAGGGGGCTCACTTACTTTGTACATATATTTAAGGGGGAATTATTCACATTGTACATACTTCTCAATAAAAATCATTATCAACCCCCTTAGCCATAAATTATGAATGGTCCCTAAACTAGTTATACCATATTAATGGTTCAGTTCAGCTAAATATGCCATCTGACCAAGTGAGCATGCCTGCTGGAGTACTAACCCAGCGTAGTGATTCTGTTGGCAGACAGGTTGAGGGTGTTGAGCTGGGTAAGTCCCGCTAACTTGTGGAGTACTGTCAGGTGGTTGTGGGACAGGTCCAGTCTCTCCACATTAACACACTCACCCAGGCAGCCGAGGTCACACACACCTACATAATAAAAACTCCATAATACATGGAATATGAAACAAATACATGTTCTCCACAAAATACATGCTTTCCAGAAAACAGGTTCTTGAGAGGCATTTAGAAGTTGGTATTCAAGTAAAAGGCAAATATTATGGATGACAACTTCTTCCTTATTGCATGTCACAGTGTTTCTGGGCTATTCCTTGCCCCTCCTAAAACTGAACCTTCTCCTATCAGAATCAACATACCCTACCATGGCCAGATCAGTCTACCAGCATCGACGTAACATTCCACTCTGATAAGACCCTGAAAACCATCCTGAGATCCAATGGACGAGTTTCCACTTCTTAGACCCCAAGGAGGCCCAGGGGATATATACAAACTGCAATGCGATTGTGGCTCCATATACAAAGGTGAAACATCCCGCCCATTTGACATACGACTGAAGGAGCACAAAACATCTGTACAAAATATGGACCAAAAATCAGCTCTCTCAGAGCACATCGGCAAAAACTGTACTCACTCCATTGACTGGCAATAATCAACCGTATTAAAAACTAATGTCCACGATTGGCGCAAGCTATTAGAGTCTTTAATGATAAGACAATTACAACAGGGATCAAGGAGCGTACCTCCCCAGTGCCTGGGAAGTCAATTAGCTCATTACTGGCTTCTACCCACATCTGCTAATCACTTGTATACACTCTTCCCGTGTATAAACAATGCCCATTATCTGTACATCTCACTCTTTCAGCTCCCGTTTCTTATCCACTTTATTGTATATACATGCAACACTGGCTTCTTGTACATTTAGTATTATACACTCGTTGATGTATCTTGCTTGTTATTATTCACCTGACGAAGGGGCAAGAAATAGCCCAGAAACGTTCTGACATACAATATAGAAGAAGTTGTCATCCATAATATTTGCCTTTTACTTCCAGAAAATACTGTTCAGTTTCTAGAATCAGTCACTGAGGTTTCAAATCAAAACAACAACATCCACCCCACCCAACCCCATTTGAAACAAGCAATTCAACAACTGAAGCTGGTATTCATAAAAACATGTTTCTTTCCCAAACATTGTTGGTAGACAGTTTAAAATATCAGTATCAACATGTACAACTGTACAGAAAACTTGATGAAGGTGACAAAGGGAAGACATCGTATCGTATCCCTTAAAGCCAATCGAACATAAGTTTTCCATCTCTAAATATTCACGATTAAAAGAATCTTGAATAATTCTAAATGCAATTAAAATGTGCAACGCAGATAGAATACCAATCATGGTTTGTTAACCCTTCATTGATAACCCTTCACTAATAGCCATCTTGGTATCTTGTTTTCCAACAAAATGGATGTAGACTAAAGCACTTATTATTTCTTACAGCACAAGAGCATGGGATAAAGCTGTATTAGCTATTACCTATAATTTAGCATAGTTAGGAGGATTTTGTCTTATTTTATTTTTGAATAACAAAATGTCACACCTCTTATACTTATTTGAAATGAATAACCGGATTTTAAAAAGATGGTGGGTATCTTAAAGTATAGATACCCTCTTAGTTTCAAAAGTATGGGTATCATACCCACATGGCCAGAAGCTTAGCTGGAGCTCTGGCCAGTGCTTTTTTTTAAACTCTTGACTTGAAAGAGAAGCCGCAAAATTCGTTGGATATGTTTACAATTTTGTCAATTTTGTTTTTCTGTGTAAGAGGAAGATTGGCATACCATGCATGAAAGCAGAAAGTTAAAATACTTTTTATGAATGTTTGGTAGAATAATTTCAAGACAGTAGTGTCTCCATTAAAAGATCGCAAGTTTCGCAGAAAAAAAGCCTTTGTTGTGCCTTTCCCATGTACACGATGTGAATTTGATTTCCATGAAAGTTTATTATCAAACTGATAGTATCCAGATATTTGTACAAACAGGTTCCAATTTGTCCTTTTTGCTTTGGAAGTCATTTATCATTTCCTTTGTTTTGTTTATGTTCAGGGAGAGGAAATTGTCTTTGCACCATAAAATATCACATCAGTATTATTGAAACACATCCTTCGGCAAGAAGACATATATGCCTTGAGAAGGAAAGCATAAATTAACAAGAGAACATTGGGTTCAAGGTCAGAGACGAGGCTGCCCTAACAAATAATGAGTATGTTAGGATGGGCAACTACAGTTGCCAGCAGCAGCAATGGGCAACAATGTTGCCCGCAGCAAATAGAGCAATCACATTTCTGCTGAAAAGCAGACAATAATAAGGCAAAGCCAAAAGATTCCTATCCGCTGAGAAGCAGAAGGGTTAAACAGATTCCGGCTGAAGAGCCGTCCTGCCATAAGTTTGAATATTGCCTAAGTATTAATGATTGCAGCCCAAAAGATCCAGGCCACCCCTAACATTTACTGACATAGGCATATATACACACACATTACAAGCCCTTTGCCAATAATGTACAATCTGGAAACAGAAAGATGGAAGAGATGGCTGGCAAGGGAAGGGTGGGAGGGAAACGAAAATATAACTTTTGCAGGAGACAAAGAGGATAGACTCACTGTGTGAATCTAAAAATCAATGGATGAAATGAATGATGACGTAATCAGAAGTAGACACATGATGTCTTTGGAAAATAACATAACCAGAAGTGACATAAGCAAAGATAAAACAGCGGGAAGAACGAACTGAAAGGAAGTGTGAATGCTTTCAATAAACGCATTGAGTGTTAAGCACTAAATGAGATTATTCCTATACTCCGATTGACAAATAAACCCAAAATAAACCCGAATAAACCAAAGCGGCATCATCAGCAAATTTGAAATTCAAACAGGTGAATAAATGAGATATACAGTCATTTGTATAGAGTGTGAAGAGGACACTGTATTTTGGCTGATTTACAACCAGATAAACGTAGCAAGTTATCTCCTAGAATGTGAAAAGGAAATTATTTAAGCTTTTATCAAGCATTGATATTCGTCAACCTGTTTTAAAATCTGGCACACAAAGCTAAACTGCACTAGCGTTTGTGTTACTCACCTGCATCACGAAGAAAGAGTGAATGTATGCTTTCAACGTCAAATTCTCCACTGCGTGTCTTTAAGAGCTGCTTGCTGATTTTTCCATCTAAAGCAAAATATATCTACTCTTTACATAATCCTGACAGTCAAAACATGCAAATACATCCACAAATTTGGATAATACCCAGGAGTTAGTAACAAGCATGTGCTGACCTCGAAGAAACATGTTGTATCATCATTTTATGTTACAGATGCATGAAAATATAAATAAGATTCACATCCCTGAACCAATACAACACTGCTCCTAAAATTGCAAATAACCTGTCATTTAAACATATTTTTTTTATAATTTTTTATTTTTGTTGCATTTTTACAGTAGCGCATACTCATTACAAATCTTAATATCTAACGAAAAAGTAAATGGCAACTTGACCAGTGCTTATAAAACGTGTCGATATTGGAAATTTTAACTATAAATTGTTTATTTATATACTTATCCTATCTCACGATTTGCATCTCTCTCTCTTGCTTCGACGCTGAGTGGAACGAATTGGAACTTTCCCTGTAGGCCTCTCTTGTCCATACGCCCGTGTTCCCCAGGCTGCTCTCCTTATACTTATAGGACAGGTCCCTGGTCCCATGCTGAGCATGCAGCATGCTCTGCTATCTACCCATGTGACTACCACAGAGTGATCATTCTCTTCTTGGAGCCAATGACAGTTAACTGTAACCACCGTAATCTGAGTAGCGGGGAGGCTGGGCGGTCATACATCAGGTGAGATAGGATAAGTATATAAATATACCATTTATAGTTAAAATTTCCTAATTTTTAAACTTATCCAATCTCACGATTTGCACTTATCCCACAGTTGGACGGCGGGTCGCTTAGATTACCCTAAGTCAAAAAGCACTGACTGTATACACTGTATAGGCTAATGACAACCGTAGATAGCAAAGAACAAGGGAGGCCGGATCCGACTAGTATAGTACCTATACTAGTGATGGGTTCTCCTGAACCCCTTGGCTTACTAGGCACAATCGCTCCCAAGGAGTGGGTGCTCCTAAGCAATGTGGTGTTCCGCCGCAACCGAACTAGAGTCACCTCACTTCGTCACGATTTATCAGAGTACCCCCGTAATTAAAGTCTTACGACTAGTAATCGGGCCCGCATCAGCTTCGAGACAGCCCCACAGACCCCATCACAAAGAGGGGAAAAGGAAACTGAATCGGAAAACTCACAAGTTTAACGTTCAGTACCAAAACAACACCACATGACTTCCACTACTTACCACAGTTAGGTCACAACGGTGTGCTAAGGTACTTAGGAGCTAGAACGCTACGAAATCCACAAAGGAAATCGGGGAGGACTCACTACACTGACGTGATTGCTCTGTGGAGTAGAGGTCTGCAAGCGAGATTGTCGAACACTTCTACATACAACAATACGAAGAATACATATTCTAATATGAGAACTAACCACTGTAGATTCGTATAGACACTAATTGAAATAACCCAATAAAAGTGACTGAAGAGTTCTAATCCCAGAAGAATCGAGAACAAAAATCAGAAATAACATTCAGAATTTTATTCAGTATGTACACGAGAGTAAAATGCACAGACGCGCACTGTACTCATCTGCATTGATGGACCGACGACAGCTGCTGGGCCAAGACAAGGGGTCCAAAATGGTGCAGACCCTGGACGTCAGTGACCGATAAGTCCCTCAGATAATGTGAGGAAAACACTGTATCCGAGCGCCAAAAGCAACCCTCCATGATGGCCATCAGGGAACAGTTGCTGTGTGAAGCCATCGTAGATGCTAATGCCCGGGTCTCGTGTGGATTGGATGCTGCTGGCGGTGGCAATCCAGCAAAGGCGTACACCCTCAGTATGGTAGCACGCATCCAAAAGGACACAGTTGTCCCTAAGACCTCAGCCTTGGATGTAGTAGACAGCGGGATGAATAGCCTCTTATGAAGACGGCGGGCACTCTTGGGAGGCAGCTAGGAAGATCCGTTAAGCTCTGACAGGGCAGAGAGACAAATCTTCAACATCATCTGGCCCAAGAATGGTTGACAACGGTGGGATAGTAAACATTCTATCCGGTTGTCCTGGTAACTGGTTCTTTGCAACAAAGTCCCAAGCAGTCCCAGAAAAACTCTGCCATGATGTTTCCGTTCAAAACGCACACGATTCACATCCAGTGCATGTAACTCTGAAATACGAGCCGCAGTAGCTAATGCTACTAGAAAGAAAGTTTTGAACGTTATCTGTTCAAACTCCTTATCATGTAGTGGCTCATATTCACTGGATACCAAGTGACGAAGGACAACTGACAAATCCCATGCAGGAGGTCTGAACATCCTAGACTGGTCAGCAAGTCTGAACGAACGAAGCAGATACTGGAGCTCGGGAGTAGTAGACACCTTGGTTCCAGCAGTTGTGGCAAGAACCGAATTAATGGCAGCCAAATAGGTTGACAATGTAGTACCTTTGAGTTTCTTCGTAGCCTGTAAATGCTGTAGAAATTCCACAACAACCTGAGGTGATGCCGTGGTGGGAGAATTAATTCTCCTAATTCCACAGTAATGTTCAAATTTCATACAATGAACAGGTCGATGTCCTATGCGCAGATGTTATAGCTGTAGCTACTCTGAGAGAGTAACCCTTGGCTATCAGTGATTTCTGTAAATGCACCAGACGTGCAAAATGTGGGTGACGAAGTAGGTCGTTACGGGCGGGTAGCGGTACTGGGTTCGGTTCTGCTACCTTTTTTAGGCCGACAAACCAGCTTCTCACTGGCCAAAAGGGTGCAACCAAACGCAGACGAATCTAGCTGGTTGCAAGTACCTTTTCAACTACCTTGGGTAGTAGAGCCGGGGGAGGAAACAGGTAAGTGTTTAGACCCTCCCATGATATGGCTAACGCGTCGTGGTCCCACGCCTGGGGATCCGGAAATGGGAACACGAACTGTGGGAGCTGATGGTTGTACCGAGAGGCAAATAGATCTATGTCTGGTCGTGATACCGGGTAGATCATCGACTGGAATATCAGGGGCAGTAACTTCCACTCTGTTGGCGATGGCCATTTGGGGCGTGACAGGGAGTCGGCTATGACATTCCTCGCCCTGGGAATGTGTCGGGCTCTGGCCATAATGTTGAGAGAATCGATTAGATGGTAAAATCGAAACGTCCACTGGAGCAGAGCTGCCGAACCTGTCAAGCCTTGATGATTGATGTACCATACTACTGTCGAGTTGTCTGATTGAATCAGTATATGGGACAATCAGAGTTCTGCCGCCCAATGCTGAATGGCGAGAATGACAGCACTGAATTCCAACTCGTTGATGTGAAGGGCCTTTTCTGCGGATGACCACTTGATGATGAAGAAAGTGGGCGCCTCAGCCCTCGAGGGATGCGTCGACGAACAGGTGACGAGTCGATGTGAAGGGCACCATAGAGACTCTGGCGCAAAAATTCTGCTCGTCGAGCCACCAACGAAGAACTGGTTGTAGTTGCACGGGAAGACGAATCAACTCCCTGGGGTTGTCGTTCCGGATGTACAGGCACAAAAACATCTGAAGAGGGCAAAGTTGCAGTTGGCCCCTGTAAGTGCTTGTGCCGACGTCAGTAACCCTAGTAACTCCTGCCACTGGCGCAGAGTTCTGGGTGAGTTGAATGTTGAATGTAGAATGCTCTGAATTTGTCCCATCTGTCCTGGGGTACAAACAACATGGCCTGTTGTGTGTTGAATACTGCCCCTATGAATTGTAATCTCCGAGTCGGTATTAACTCCGACTTCTCGTAGTTCAGGAGCCACCCTAATTGTGTTAGCAACTTGATGGTGAACTGCCTGTGGAGATGAAGGACGACTGGATCCTGCTGAGCTTGAACACAGCCGTCGATATAGCTTTCGAAAGTGATTCCCCGAGAATGCAGGTAGCTTGTTATCGGTTTGGTTACCCGAGTAAAAAGCCACGGGCCGTAGATATTCCAAACGGCAGTACCATCCACTGGTAATGACGCCCTTGGAACGTGAACTGAAGATACTTCCGGTGGTCTGGATGTATTGGTATGTGAAGATAGGCGTCTTGCAGATCGAGGGAAATGAGATAGTCCCCTTTCTTCAAGATGGTGCGTAGAAGGTTGACTGACACCATCCAAAAATGGGGTGGCGGAGATAGAAACCGGGCATGAACTGTTTCATGTTGAATATCACACGAAGTTTGTTTGAATTCTATTTTGGCACCAGAAAGATGGGGGAGTAGAACCCCGGCGTAGAGCTGAGCGGGTCGAGCTGTTCTACAGCATGCTTGTCCCGAAGCGTGTCTATGGTGGCCTGAAGAAACAAGTTTTGATCCGGAGGATAATTGCGTTGAAGAGAAGTGACTGTGAGAGGTGGATTCCTGACAAGTGGCATCTGATATCCGTGAGTGAGGATGGCGAAACGTACGGGTCTCCTAGAATGTCCCAATCGGGAGCAAACTTCCCTAATCTCCCGCCCACCGGTGAGTCGAAGATCGGGATGATTGGGGGCGGTAGGACCAAGTCGGGCAGCAATCTCTGTGAGTCACTGCTTGGATGAGCCACTTCCGGTATCGGGACCGGCCTTGGGGGGATGACGTGAGACACCACCACGGGAAGGTTTCCTACCCCTGTTCTGCGATTGGGTGAAGCGTCTGTCATGAAAACAATCCTTCAACTCCGGGTTGGTTGGAGAAAAACGTGGTGTTCTGCGTTGTTTAAAGGGACTCTGCAGCTGAGATTTCTGCATTTTCAGTAATTCAACAGAAACCTGAAAATGAGTCTCCTGATGCACCTTGGTAGAAACCTCTACAATATTGCCACCAAATAGCATATCTGAGCACCAAGGCTGCCTAAACAATTTGGCTTTGAATCGTTCATCCCAAGACAAAATGTTGAAGGGGCCTCTCCTACGCACCACAAGTACGTAACCAAAAAATTGTGATAGTTGGTCTAGAACGACCTGAAACTGGTCTAGAACCAACGCCATGCATCCCCTAATATAAGCATCTTGGTCAGTATAGGTATGGTCAACAGCAACAGCAACAGCAACGGCGTCCACTGCCGAAACAGCACAATTGAT